GCCTAACTTTGTGCAGTCACCTAACTTTGTGCAGTTGCCTAACTTTGTGCAGTCGCCTAACTTTGTGCAGTCACCTAACTTTGTGCAGTCACCTAACTTTGTGCAGTCACCTAACTTTGTGAAGTCGTGTTACTTTGTTCAGTCGCCTAACTTTGTTCCATAAACAACGAAAAATATCTCGTTTGCCTAGAGTACATGTAGATGCACTTATTTCAACAGTAAGTTGAAGAGTAAAGCAGTTTGTTACCATCGACGTTTTTCCCTTTTTGCTTGATCTGTTTCTCGACCTCTCCAAGTTGGGAAGACAACCGAAGTATGTCCTAAAACGATAGAAGCAGAGAAAAAAATGAATACCATCACATAAGTGATTCAGCTCAGCGCATTCCAACCATAATAAAATTTACTGATTTCCACAAAACACTTACAAATTACAATGAAGCTGCTCACTTTGGGAAAAAGTCCAAACACCTTTCCGCTCCTTACCTTACTAAGTACTTGACTGGAACGAAGTTTCTTTATTTCTAGCTCACTCTTCTCGGCTAACAAGGCCTCCTTGTTCAGTACAATAGCTTCTCGTTTCTTCAGCTCCTCCGCTAAAGTTTCCATGGCTTCCTTTCTCCTTAGTACTTTCTCTACTTCATTGTCCAGCCACTGGCGGCGTTGGTCTAGTTTCGCTTGTTCGTCGCTGAAAATCAATTGTGACGTGACTAACTACTGACTTATATACTCGAGTAGAATCACTAGCCGGAGAGGTTGATATCAAGGTTCAGGTAAATGTAGTGCAACAGTAAGACTATTATGCAAAGTGGTCCTTTCTTTGTAACGAAAGATTTAATGAAAAAGCAGAGAGGGAGGAAAGAGGAAAGGAAGAGAAGGACGGACGGACGGAAGGAAGTAAAGAAGGAGGGAGGGGGGCAGGGAGCAAGGCAGGGTGGCAGGGAGGTAGGCTGGGAGAGAGGCAGGGCAGGAGGGAGACACGGAGAGTGGGAGGCAGGGAGGCAGGGAGGCAGGAAGGGAGGGAAGCAAGGTGAGGTGGGAAGGGCAGGAGGGAGGCACGGAAGGAGGGAGGAAGGGAGGGAGGGAGGAAAAACAATTAATACCTTTCTTTTTCTTCAGATCCATGTTTGCCAACATTCCTCAGTCGCCGCTGCGCAGCTGCAACTTCTTCTGTTTTTCTTTTGAGTACTTTCTGCTGCTGATTCATGTGATCTTCCAGTTCTTTAATCTTCTGCTGCTGTTTCTGCATGTCTCTTTCCATTTTGATTTTCCTGTCAGCCTCCTCCTTGAGCTTCTTGTGAAGTTGATCTTGTTGATTTCTCATTCTATCGATGTGCACTTCAAGCTCCTGAACTTTCTTTTCTCTTTCCTCGTGCAGGGCGCTTATTTTCTCATTGTCCTGAGGTGTCAATCACAGAAAATCCATTTACATTAAAGAGTTTAAGCGCTGTAACACTGCTATTTTACATGATATTTTCCAGTACCTTGAACCGAGAGAAAGTGACAGGAGAGAGGAGAGAGGCTGACCTCTCATTTTCTTCTGCTATTCTACATAGTAACCATGAGGCCACGGCGCCTCCCCAGTATTATACCGAGTAATTAGTGCGTGGTAATTTGCGCATTCTCTTGACCATATATCCAATACTCAGAAGAAGTAATGTTGATATAATAAAGAAACACCTATTAGGCCAAATAAATCCTCTGAAAGCCACAAACTGCGTTACTCAAACAACAAATGGCCTGATTCAAGTACACGAAAAATACGGATACTACATGAAGCATTATATTCTTCGTGAAAACTGACAACAGCAAGGCATTTTCTCACCTTCTGTTTTCGTTTCAAGGCCTGTAGCTTGGTTTCCACAGTCTGTAACTTCTTCTTGTACTCCGCCTCGACTTTCTGTTTCTCGGACACTTCATAATTAGCCTTAGATTCGTATTCTTCTAGAGTTTTCTTACTGTCTTCCAACTCCTTCTTAGCCTTTTCCAGTTCTTGCTTCATGGACTTGACTTTTTCGGAGAATTGTTTCTTCGTTTCCTTAGCTTCCTTGTCGCTCTTCGCAAGTTCTTTAATTAGTTCCTCCTTTTGTCTAAAAGTCATGGAACAAACGCAAATGGTGAATGCAAAAAATAACAACTCAGAATTATTTGCCTTGTTACAGGAGTGGGTTCGTTGTCAACTGATGCTGTCTTCTGTTTAGTTTTCGCGGAGATCTTTGTTCCCATCATTGGCATAAATGTATTCCAAATTAAACTTAACCGGTCGAATTTTGAAACGCGAAAAATTGATAGCGAAATCTAGTAACGATGGCCAGTCGAAATTCTTTTGAAAAACGTTAGATTTACACCGAGGCTGTAATCATGAAAATACCCGTAAATCTGAACGTTTTGAATGCATCGAGAAGGTTCATTTCCATACAAATCAAACACATTTTTATATGAAAGGTTTTGCACGGACTCGTATTGAAGGCACAAGGTAACTAGAAATGGCCCATTTAAGACACAGGAGAGGCGCTTCTCCATAAAGGACTACTCTCTGATGCAGCTACTTGAATCGCCTGTGAAAAGAGATGGCGTCATCGACATTTTAAACTGAATTTAAGTTGTTTTTACGCTACAAAAAAAAAAAATAACGAACAAACTGAATTAACAAACAAGCTCTTTACCTGATGTTGATATTTAAATCTCTGAGTTTCTGTTCAGCCGAGTGAAGTCTAAGTTCCACTTGCTTGACTTCCTTCCCCATCACCTGAGTGCTTGAGCGAAGTGCTTCTACCTCGTTGCGTTCTGCGGTGTCTGGTTTTGACCCTTTGTCCTTCGACTCAACTACTTCTATCGCGGGAACCTTCCAGAATAAAAAGACACACTGGTTATGTTTCAGCCTCGATGTAGCTGTTGATGTTTCCTTCTCTGATGTTGTTGTTGTTGTTGTTGGTGGTGGTGGTGTTGTTGTTGTTGCAGCAGCTACAAGAGCAGTTTTCAATTGAACGTGGATAACCCAAAACCAAAGTAATTAGTTCAGCCAATCACAAAAGAAAGAGACAATCTAAACGACCAATCAAAATTCGAAGGAAATACAAGCACTAAACAGCTTAAACGCGGGAAAATGTGTGGGAGCGGGTCACGATCAGTTAGGATCAATATAGCGGCGCGGGTTTTAAGATCCAGTCGTTTAACGTAGTACTAATGTAAAACCAAAGCAACAGTGAATTACTGTCGGCACTCAAAACCGCTCTAATAGGCCAGGTGGTGCAGCAATGAACCATGTGGTCTGTCAGGTTGGCAAACATTGGAAAGACGACAATTTTAAAGAAATACAATTTAAAAATGGTTTCGCACTGATATTATACTACTATCTGTGTCACGTCTGACTGTCAACCGATAGACAGTTATTTAACTGTTTATTAGCTATGTCTCAGGAGTCGCTTGGTGATTTGCAAAAGAATGTAAAATGAAAACTCCAAGGTGGCTGTCGTGAATAAAGACTATTTAATGACGTTCGCGCGAAATTTTCCAGTCGATAGATTTTTTTTTACATTTTACTGCAGTCACATAATGAGTTACTTGTGTCAGAAATTGCCAAACGAAGAAAATCGGTAGAGAAAATGATCCGTCAAAACAAAAATAGGGGTCACCGAACGTCCAAGATCGTTTAATCCAGGCAAAGCTAGAGCAATGGCCATCTGCCCTATCATTGTTCATTTCATTACTTGGCGCGCGCATCGATGCATAACGTGGCCTATGAATTTGCGTGCGCAGTAAGGATGTACAGAACCAATTAGCGTGAACGTCCTTCAAAGAAAAACAAAACAAAAAAGACAATAATCCAGCTCATGATTGATTAACGGTAGGCAATGTATTTTTTTTAGATCTTCCAAGCACACATCTAACACTGTCACCCAAATTAAAATGAGATGATGTGAGATGCATTTTGAAAACGTTTAAGCTTTCTTCTCAAACCTTGGTTTTGGCGTGGCTTAAATTCTTTGAGGTATTCTGTTGTCTTGGAATGGCAGGCACGTGAGGTATTTTTGGACCGTCTCTCTTGATATTCCATGTTTTGCCTAACGCTCTGCAAAGAGATCATCCAAATGTTTATGAATACAATATTTGTACCAATTAAGCCTCACATAAAGGAAGACAAGGGACGTTTATAACACCACACGATAGTTAAACAGTTCGTAAAATGGTATTGAGACTGTTCACATGATAAAAATAACTTACATGAAATGATTCTAGAACAGAATATCTAATACGTATTTTGAGAGGAACTAAAGGATCGAGAGAACTGAAGTTGATTATAGTTCATCAAATTTAAACTTGGGACAGGATTTAAAAGTCAAAGTCAAAATTGCCATCCTTGTGAAATTTTGATACTCATTTTTCAAACTTTATTCGTTGATATTACTTTGCTTTCACCACTTTTGACTTTTTTTTTCTTCTTTCTATTGTAAGACAATAAAGCAAAATAATTTATAGTAATTCCCGGCGATATTTTCTTAAAACACGGTATGTCAGGGCTAACCAGCGGATACATCGTTAACACGTAACACTTCATGAGTTCCTCACAGTATGAGAATGACTCCAACGTTTCTACGTCAACATGATATTATAAAGACTCTTCATGCTACAAAGCAATATCACTGACGACAAATCGCGGGCTCAAGGGGCTCCCACTGACTATGCTCTTTGTACCTTGAAGGTTCCTCATCAGCCTCGTCTTCACTCTCGCTTGTATCTGACAATGTACACACCACCTCGTCTTCTTCCTCGTGTTGGCTGACCAGCAACTGACTGCGGGCTCTGAAGTCTTGTATAATTCGGTCCACTACAAACTGAACATGAATGAACACAAAATTACAAAATCGTTTTCTAAATACACCCGCGATTAAGGAAATACACACGTCCCGTAAGCGACCACGCAAAGTGATTTCAAGCCTGAGTGGGTGCTTAATGTTACAACACCTTATTATCCAATTTCTGCCCCATTATCTGTCGACCGGTCGCTTACGAGAGGTTAAAAACAAAAGCAAAATTTCAACATTTTAACTCTAAAAGTGGTCGCGGTCGCTTACGAGGGGTGGTCGCTTACAAGAGGTTCCAAATATAGGGATATGACTTGCAAACTAGTCGCTGAGGAGAGGTGGTTGCAACCGGAGGTTCGACTGAAGTAACAGCCGAACTAAATTCTGCTGTTTCCAAGCGAATAAAAGAGACAAAGAAAACCGCACGTAAAGGAACAAATATTTTCATAACGGCATTTTACGGGGGCGACCACGCACCGTTTACAAGGGTCTTCATGATTCGCCAAACGAAACAATAGGTATACGACACAAACAATACCCCTTGCCCTAAAAACAAAAGAGGTGCAGATTAACAAGAACGAATCAAAGAGGTGCGGGTTATCTGTTTCACGGCCACCTTCGCCTACGTCATGTAAACATGCCCAAGGAATCGCGTTTCTTATTTCTCACCACGGGGGGGCTGCTGTGTACTTCTCGGTCATTTTCTGGCCCAGTCCCATCTTGAACTAACGGAGCGGTTAGTACACGGGTTCCTCGAGGACTGGAGAGGACCATTTTGTCCACTGTAAGGAAAGTTCACAGAGGACTCAGTGTTTCGTAAAACATGCAACTTTAGCAACCTGTTCAAACAGGCATTACTCGTCGAGCGCTTATTTCTACCTCGAGGAAAATATATCTTGAGATTTGACCTACAAAATTTATGTTTTAAACGTAGATTTACAAACATCCTTGAAGGGTTTCTGCTTAGCTTTCAATTACCTAACATCACCATGCAGCAGCACGGCTGATAACGCCGGAAAGAGTTATCTCTGATTACAACGCCATTAAATACACATTAAAATGCACTTATTTGCAAACATAATATTTGCTTACAATGACTAATAAAAGAACAAACAAAAAAACGTGTACATGGAACCGCCTAACCACTCACGAAGAAACGAAAAACAGACGAAAGAACGAAACGAACGAAATGAACGAACGAACGAAAGAACGAAGCAAACGAACGAAACGAACGACATGAACGAAGCGAACGAAACGAACGAACAAACAAACGAAACCAAGGCAACTAACCAACCAAGTACGACTAACCAACCAACAAACAGAAGAATGATTGAATCACTGTACCTGGAGAAATTCCTTGATAAAGAAGGAGTTGATTAAGCTGCAGCTGCTGTTGGAACAGTTGATCTTCGTGTTTTTTCAAGCGAGTTTGTGTTTCTTGTAGCTGGTTGATCAGTTTAGCTTTCTCCTCTTCGAGCTTGCGCACGTTTTCCTTAAGTGATTCGATCTCCTTTGTTTTCTCCGCGAAGATTTCTTCATCGCTTGACAAATCTTCCTTGTACTGAAAAAGTGATAATAAGTAGACAGGCAAATAATCTATATAACTTTGCAAGTATACAGTCAAGAAATTTAAGGTTGAACATCGTTCAAACTCGTCTAAAGAGAACAACTTTATCTTGACTACATAATATTACGAACAATTCTGCTAGACTTTATTAAAAATAGCAGTTTAGGTTAATAAAAGACTCAGGTTGTAAGGTCGTTTAGCTTACGTTTGTACAGCGAATGCAGATTTTCAACATTTTAGCTCAATTGTTCAAGATCACATTTTCCGCTACAAACTGATTTTTGCGTTAGATATCTTCTTTTAACATCAAGAACATCAAGAACAACAACACATCATTACAAATACCTTGTTCAGTTCTTTTTTAAGGTGTTCCACCAGATCGGCTTGCTGCTGTCGAGCAGTGTTTGGGGTCCATATTGGTCTAGACTTCACCTGTTCTACGGCTTTGACCAACCGGTCAAACTGGTTAGCCTGGTTGTTTGACATCACGCCAGCCTTATGCAAAGCTTTTAATTGGCTTAAGGCGTCGACGATAAGCTGTTTGTATGTGTCACACGCGCCACGAGACCTGATGATGATAACAAAAATAAACACAAAAGGTAAGAAGGCTAACAACAAAACGGGCGAGACCATATTCACTGAATAGTCTCTGTCCACACTACGCCGGAGAAATTTGAAAGCGAAACGATCACTGGTCATTTTGGATTGTGTTTGAGGAAAACTTGGTCAGAGAAATCACATGATTATGGTGACGCCATCGTTTTCGAAAGGCTCCGTTTTCAAAAATGATACTTTCCGTCCACGCTAAAACGCAAAGCCGGCGTTTTCAAATTCCTCCGATTTGAAGAGCGTTCTCGAAAAGCTCCGTTTTCAGTTTTTAAATGCTTCCCGTCCACACTTAAACGCACAGCCGGCATTTTTTGGAGGAGCGTTTTCGAAAAGCTCCGTTTTCAAAATGCTTTCCATCCACACTAAAACGCAAAGCCGGCGTTTTCAATTTTTTTTTCTGGCTTAAAGAGCGTTTTCGAAAAGTTCCGTTTTCGGTCCGGATTAATGTGGACGGTAAGCCTAACCGTGCAAATAAAGCTGCGTTTTCAAATTTCTCCGGGTAACGTGGATGGGGCGTTAGGTAATGGGCGTCCTCTAAACCTACGGAAAACTTTGCACGAGTTTGAAATTCAACCGAGGACAAAGAAAAACATCTGAGTCCCCGACGGGAGTAGAAGCCATGTCCTCGCGCCAGCAATCGCTCAGACAAACCACCCAAAGGACATAGAGAGATGTGGGAAGACTGGAGTGTATGAAATCTGATTGGAGCAAACTCGCCTCTCCAACTCGTCCTCCAGAGACTTGATTCGCTCGGCATCTTCCACTGTCCCACCCGACCCTACAGACGAGCCACGGCGCCTTTGCAGTTCCTCACGGAGTGCCTGTGGATTCATACAAAACAAGTCCGTTATGCATGTGTGTACAATGTGAGGTCATCCCAGTTTCCGTAACATGAAGCGACTAAGAGTATTGGTAAGCTCCCCCACCCGGATGGGAAGCTAATGGTCATTTTCGTGTTCTCGGTATTGGACTGGAACTAGCTTGAAATGGAGGCTTGTGCGGGGAAATATCATTAAAAAGAGATTAATGTCATTTGCATTTGAAAAAACTCCCTGCATTAGCCTCGGTTACAAGCTAGTTCCAGCATACGACGATGATCTGTTCTTGCGGGTTAGTCATGACATGTTTAGACTTCCTTAACAGGCCACACAAATCTGTTTACAGTACACCTAAGAAAACAGAGGCACTGTAAGAGTTGCGTCTTTCCCAAGAACACAACACAACGACCCTGGCCAGGGCTAGAACCTGGTACGCTCGACCCGGTAGAACATGCTAAACAAAAGGCACCCGCTTCTCCCACAACTGAGAAGTCCAGATACTGCGTTAAATTTAAGTTAATTACTTGTATTTCATTCTGCATCTCAGCCAGTCTTGTGTTCTGCGGATCTCGATTCACTATTGGCTTATTCCGGATGTTTCTGGCCTGAAAGAAAAGAAGAAAAAAAAAAAGAGAGACAAAGCCACTATCAGTACTTTTGTTCAACAGGCCGTGAGAATCCTTCCCCTAGATAGATGACGTCCTCATTTATCCTCGCAGTATTTAGCACAGAAATGACGCAAATCGTAGCAAACTCGAGCTGTAAAAAACAAACAAACAAAACAACAAGAAATTACAAGCGTTAAGAGCGTTCGATTTCTTGCGATGGCTTCATAAAAGGGTATAAATATTTCACACGTTATTCCAGCATTTCTTTCAGCGATTGATACAGTTCTTCGGGATATCTGGAATCATTGCTGCATGCATGTTCCCCAACGGCACTGTTTAGCGCCAACCATATTGAGCGAAATGAGGTGCCTACAGCACTATTTTAAAACGAAAACTTCGGCTTTACTCCTTCTGTTACTCTCAGAACACGCTAACGTTGTCCGAGTCTCGCGGGGGGTCCAAATACAATGTGATCTAATATAATCTTCCAAGGATTTCTAACTTTACTGGCAACATTTATGTTCTGTACTCACCCTTGTGGCGTACTTCAGAGAGTTTAAATTTTCAGCAAAGTCTGCGGCACAAGGACTCAGGCATGTTATCATCAGAGTCCTAGAATTACCGCCCAAAGAGTCTTTTAAAAGCCGTGTTACTTTACTGTCCCTGTAAGGCACGTGAATCACCTGAAATAAGTTATAACCACTTATAGTAAATCACACGTCTTCGTGGAGCAAAGTTTCGAGATAAGCAATAAGAGTAATTTTTCACTGGCTGAGTGAAACGAAATATGTGAAAAGATGTTTTTTNTCCCCTAGATAGATGACGTCCTCATTTATCCTCGCAGTATTTAGCACAGAAATGACGCAAATCGTAGCAAACTCGAGCTGTAAAAAACAAACAAACAAAACAACAAGAAATTACAAGCGTCAAGAGCGTTCGATTTCTTGCGATGACTTCAAAAAAGGGTATAAATATTTCACACCTTATTCCAGCATCTCTTTCAGCAATTGATGCAGTTCTTCGGGATATCTGGAATCATTGCTGCATGCATGTTCCCCAACGGCAATGCTTAGCACTAACCATATTGAGCGAAATAAGGTTCCTAAAGCACTATTTTGAAACGAAAACTTCGGCTTCACTCCCTCTATTATTCTCAGAACACGCTAATGTTGTCCGAGTCTTGCGGGGTGTCCAAATACAAAGTGATCTACTGTAATCTTCCAAGGATTTCTAACTTTACTGGCAACATTTATGTTTTGTACTCACCCTTGTGGCGTACTTCAGAGAGTTTAAATTTTCAGCAAAGTCTGCGGCACAAGGACTCAGGCATGTTATCATCAGAGTCCTAGAATTACCGCCCAAAGAGTCTTTTAAAAGCCGTGTTACTTTACTGTCCCTGTAAGGCACGTGAATCACCTGAAATAAGTTATAACCACTTATAGTAAATCACACGTCTTCGTGGAGCAAAGTTTCGAGATAAGCAATAAGAGTAATTTTTCACTGGCTGAGTGAAACGAAATATGTGAAAAGATGTTTTTTTCTCACACACCGCTGGAGCCTGGGTATAGGTCACCTGACCTGTGGGGCGGGCAGTCGTTTCTGTTGCGTCCGCCATTGCCGACTTTCCCACCCACCCACCCATCCGAAGATTTTTTAAAAGTTTTCTTACAATACCAGTCTAATATACCAGCCTTAACTGTTTTCCATATTTCCATCTTTTAGAGTAACGCTATTTGTATTAACTTTCATTTTGCAATAAAGGTCAGAAGGCGGCGGTCAGCTTGATATGGCTACCAGTAGTGTGTGAGAAAACCATTTTGCCATGCACATTTAACGAATGCTAAAGTAACTCAAAGCTTACAAACTCGCGATACATCTGGTTAAAAAACACCTTTTTATGTTGCCGCCAACTATCAGCTGTTAGCGTAACCCACTCCGGCACCGACTGAAACCATAAGATCACAGCACCTACAGACCCTCCAGAAGTTTACACTACACCGGAGAGAAATGTCAGTGAAGTTCTCCATAACGAAACGCATAACTAACTTAAAACCATACCAGCGCCGGCAAAACTAGTTCTATGATGTCCTTCAACGGTGAAAGGTATGAATGAATGAACGAATAGAAAGGAAAGATATACGCCCGGGGGGAGGGGGGGTACTCCCAGAAAAAAATTGAGTGGGAGTGTGCAGCCCGCTTCCCAAACCCCTTACCCTATTTATGACCAAAATCTGCGATTTTCCCTACCCTATTTATGACCTGGCCAAAAATTTGATATCCTATTTATGACCACCGCAGCTGGCACAGTTGCCCTAAACATAGCTTATGAAGGGCTTTTGTTGATGGTCTTATCAATGATAACGAAAAAATAGCTTCTTCTAAAAAAACATACCCAATTCAAGACAAGAGTGCCAAAACCATACCCTATTTATGACCAAAATGGCCAAAATCGATACTCTATTTATGACCAAAACGGCTGAAAAACCATACCTTTTGGGGCCGCACATACCTATATAGCCCATATAAGGGAATACCCCCCCACCGGGGATATACGCAACAGTGTAACGTCGCTGTCCGTTCAGATTTCACTTTTACCTTCTTTTTGGAGTCTGCAAGGGCACTAATGACATTACCCAGGGATAACAATCCACTGTTGATGAAGACAGACTCTTTAAACCTCTCTCCCACATTCCCTGTTCGATGGGCTCTCTCTGAACCAGCAAGATCAACAAAGTGAAATTTGGCGTACTTGTAGTCTGTAAAATCTAAATGATTAAACAAAAAGGAAAAGCAAATGTAAAACCATGCACAGTCCTAAACATTCGCTGGAATTACAAAAAATCTAGTCTAAACAGGTCAAACAGCTTTCACGAAGCACTGCTAAAGAAAAAAAAGGTTGTGAGTAAAGAAACAAGGAGGTGCAATAAGGGCATCAAACAAGCTGTTATATTTAAGCAATAGACTGTCACTCTTTCTATGGGACCGGCGCAATAAACCCACACGGGATTTTAGGAGAACACGAGAAAAGCTTGTAAATCACAAGCCGTTGGGCGGGTGATTTACAAGCGTTTTGAGTGTACAAAAGTGACTAAACCTGACCTAAGTCAGATCTAATGCTGGCTTTTTTCTCACCGTCAACTTGTTCTTCTTCAATCAAAGGCTTTTGCTCTGTTAATGATAAACAACATGGAATTACTTGTTAATTAACTCGATCAAGTTTGAAAAGACCTTAAAAACACATTTTCAACATGGTATAACATGTAGGTGTTGCAGTTAAAAAAATTGTTAGATTTTACCAACTAAGATCATTCATCTGATTCTAATAGCATATTTGGGAGCACTTGCCAACAAACTCTTGAAATAAAAAAGTTTGGGCAAAAATAATTTAAAACTGTAGTTTGATTTGTATTTTTATTTGTCTCAGGGTTATGGCCCACAGTAACTCAGGAACTAGTTTGAAATCTGACATTTTGACAAAATGCCCTTCAAACTACAACATGTACCCATAGGGATGAAAAAGTACAGAGAGTGAGATGCATTGACTGGGGTGGGGGGNCAATATGTAAACCTCGGGATGTCCGGGGGGGGGGTACTTTACAAAGTCCTATACGGAGAGGCTTCCCCCTTCGGGGTCCAGCCACTTGCCATTTTGCATACCATTTTGACAGAAAAGGTATCCCCTATGTATACCTTAAATTGAAGACAGGGTATCCCTTCCACATACATGTACTTTCACAACTGGCCCGTATTATGAATAAATCGCCAAAAAGGAAATTTTCTTGTCATTCTCATGTAGTGCCTAACAAATGAAATGATAGAGCCATAAAGTGCGTCTGTTCAAACTATTTTAATTAACGGCCCTTTAAAATGGCTAAACGACAGATTCTCCTTACCTTTTCATATACCTCAACTTGTGAAATCCCTACCATTTTATATAAAGGTCCCCTTTTCGGGCAGAGCCTTCCCATATTGGTTATTATAGGGAGTATCCCCACACCCACCCCCGGCATGTAATATTCAAACTTCCCTGTGCCCCTCAAATTTCTCGGGGGCTTCTACCTGATTGGTTAATTTAAGCTAAGGGACAACCTGTGCGCCCAGCCGCGAGGGTAGAGAGGATTGCAGGTGCAACAAAACACCCATGGCTGGAGACTGAGCCTACATTGAAAGGGGAACTAATGAAGCATCTTAACCAAGTATTAATACAATGTACATGTACTGCTACAAGTGTTGATATTATACTCTCTTACCAATGTAAAGAGTGAATATTGTATGTGATCGGCTGGAGTGTTCGTTCATGTTTGTTGTGCCAACCTGTCGTCCAGCCGATCCTGAGTCAAGACAGCTCATCACTTCATCTGCTGTGTGAACGGGTTGCTCAGTGGCACCTACAATTACTGTTTAAGGAGAAAAAATACTTCAGTGCATGGAAGGTTATGGCTATCAGTGTACCTAGCACTTTGACATAATCATCAACACCAGTTCTTGCCACATCTTGGTACCACTGGCTTTTAGACAGATGGGAGTCCAGGCATCCTGTGGATGGCCACTAATCAAAGAAAATCGTTTTATTTTTCTTATGTTGCCTTGTAAATTGTTTATTTGAGCAGGCCCCATAGCACATTTTGGATGGCCACTTTTCAAATCATGGCTAAAAGCCAGCTTGGTATGTGTAGGGCCTTTTGGTTTCTGTAAAGCCAGAAATTAAGCCAGAGAGGATAACTGCCCCTCTCCAGAATTGTTATAATTCCTCTTTTCACCAGCTTGGTTGGCTTACTTCCAGGCCTGGACCAGCTACATCATACTGTAGTGGCTCTGGGATCTATGTCTACTTTACTTTATCCTGTAAAGCACGGAACCCGCGATCTTCCACCATCTCTCAACTCTCATCAATGATAAGGTTGGAGGTTGTGTTTTTGGGAGGTGAGGTCTGGAACATAAATGTAGACAAGCAATGGGTGCTAAGGGTCATACTAACTTGTAGAGCTCTGCATGCAATTGTGTTGGTGCCAAAATTGGAGTATAGAAGTGAATTAAGAGACCAAACACACTTTAAGGCAGCTATAGGCAGGCCACTTGAACTGCTGAAGACAGACAGACCGACAGACAGGCACACACACACACACACACACATTATACCTGTATTTCCCTTATCATCTTCTCTCACATAGATATCTTTGCTTGACGTGTCCACATCAAGCAAGTCTCTCAGCTCCTCCATGTAAATTTCAATATAGGACACAGTCACCACAAATGCTGTTTTATGCTTGTTTTCCTGGTAAATGGGAGCTTCGTGTCAGTCAAGAGAGGACTACATTCAAACATTTCCCTAAGTAAAATTCTTCAGATGTAAACACTTATTATGCAAGTATTGTGCATTTCCATATCAGAGATTGAAATAAGTAACATTTGGCAGTTTATTGATCATGTGCACTGTCTGGTCAAACATAACTTAATTAATAATTATTATATTTTTTGCTCAAATATGAGCCCAATTCTTTGCCACTTCAAACAGAGGTTGTGTTCTTAAAAAATGTTACTTACATGTAGTAGAGAAGTAAATAAAACTTTGAAAANCACACACACACACACACACATTATACCTGTATTTCCCTTATCATCTTCTCTCACATAGATATCTTTGCTTGACGTGTCCACATCAAGCAAGTCTCTCAGCTCCTCCATGTAAATTTCAATATAGGACACAGTCACCACAAATGCTGTTTTATGCTTGTTTTCCTGGTAAATGGGAGCTTCGTGTCAGTCAAGAGAGGACTACATTCAAACATTTCCCTACATAAAATTCTTCAGATGTAAACACTTATTATACAAGTATTGTGCATTTCCATATCAGAGATTGAAGTAAGTAACATTTGGCAGTTTATTGATCATGTGCACTGTCCGGTCAAACATAATTTATTAATTATAATTTTTGCTCAAATATGAGCCTAATTTTTTGCCACTTCAAACAGAGGTTGTGTTCTTAAAAAATGTTACTTGGTAGAGAAGTAAATAAAATGCTTCGAAAACAATCGTTCAGAGTGGGCAATAGCACTAGTACAGCTGTAGATAATATTGCTTATGCTGTAAGCATGCTTAATGAAGCACAAGTGCAGTCATTTTGGAAGGAAAAAATTATTTGACCTTCAACTTTTCACTTTATTTGTTTTCTCTCAAATTGTAAATTCAAAGCAAACTACATAGTACATACATGTACCTCCATAATCTGAAACAGCTGCTTAACAGCCTTGAGAATAATGCCGTACTCCGCCTTAATAAAGCATAAGTGTAGTCGTTTTGGAATGAAAAAATTATTTGAACTTTAACTTTTCAATTTATTTGCTTTCCCTCAAATTGTAAATTCAAAGCAAACTACATTACATACATTTACCTCCATAATCTGAAACAGCTGCTTAACAGCCCTGAGAATAATGCCGTACTCCTCCTCCAAAAGACCAGCACTGTTAGTTCCACCTATTGTGTAAGTCTTCCCCGAACTCTACAGTGATAATAACATTTTACGACAAAAACCATGTTACATTTTATACAACAATATCATTAGTCGTAGCTTGAGCAAGATAATTTTTTGGGACTTGTCAGTGACAAACAGATCAATTATTTACCTAAGATAAGGGTCAGCCAAATTCTTGTAAACAGTGAGACAGTGTCAAATTCTAATGCAAAGTAATTGATAACCACATTCAATTTGGAAGCAGTTTCCAAAGTTATCACTCTGGTCAATCTAACATTATTAATTTAATGAAAGGCGTAGAAGAATGATGCCTCACGACCCACAAGCACAGACATATAGTTATGTTAAGTTATTATAATAATATGAAATGTTACTGAAAGGCACTGTAAGAAAAATGCCTCAGGCCAGGCTGAAATCAGTGATTTAAATTCACATGTTTATAATAAACAACACTCACTGTTTGACCATATGCAAAGACTGTGGCATTATATCCCTCCATACAGCTCTTAACAAGAGGCTCCACACACTTGTCATAAACATCTGCCTGTATAAAAGTAATCTACAGTAAATATCAATGCTTTCAACCGTACCACTGATGGTCGTTCATGAGCATGATAGTTCAACATGCATTTATACACTTAATAT